AATAGAATCAAGTGCAAAATGTGGCAGAAAGAAACTCGACTATTGTTGCCAAATACTGTCAGGTCAGTTTTCGAGGATGAATGGGACTCAACCACCAACTTTCACTTTCCAAATAACAGTTTTCTCAGAAACTGATTGAATTTGTTGACACTATTTTTCAGTCTTGATTCGCTGCCCTTAAGAAAAACGTGTTCCTGGTTCCGACCTTCTAATGGAAATTCGTGATAAAACAAAAATGCCTTTTAGCCCTTTTCCACAAATGGGATTTTGATGTTTTCGTCTCATTCTCGATCCAGCCTTTTATTTTTCTTGGTGTCCTGTGCTCCAAATTCTCAAGTTTTGTCCTGATGTTTCTAATGCCTTATACAGTGTTACGGCGATAATTATCATGTGGGAGAAAGTCTAAAGCCAGGCGAAGCAGTGCTGGTCGTCGTCAGATCTGAACACTTTTCACAAAAAGTAGCTACGATATTTGCATCACTTGAAATGCTAACCAAGCTCATCCTTATGCATTACCTTATCATCGAGGAAATCTCTGCAAGTGCCAAAACCTCGGAAAGTTTGTACCAAAATGCTAAACTTTGTCTGGATCATATCAGTGCGTATGTACTTGCGTATGAACACCAATAAGTATGTATTACGCATTTATGCAACGAAACTTTGTCCTAAAATGTCACAATCTCGCATTGTCCTCGTCGTCACTTTCATCCTTCCTTCTGAGATAAAGCTCAAAGTTTCTCGCTGGGTTTTTTCTCGCCCATCCATATCAATGTAGTTCATACGTAGATGCATGTAGAGAGCAGACACGACTACTAGCTCCTGGCCATTAAGGCATGCCGATGTTTCTATTTAAGGTATCTGCTTGTATCTACTTTTATTTTATGTTCTCAGCAACCTTATCCTGGCTTAAGGTTACGTATCAACATTACACCATTGTCATTTTTCTTAATACCATGAAACCAAAGTTGACATTTAAGATTTGCCAAGAAGCGAAAGAGAAGCAATAATGCCGAGACAAAGGATATTGAACAAAAAAGGCACCATCCAATATGCGCCATGGTTTGCAAGAACTGTTCTGCATAAGAGTCACTCACTCGCTTTCTCTCAATCTTTGTATCCAAATCTGAATTGCACGCCCAAAAACATTTCATAGACAAACTCGGTTGTCGGTTGCAGTTATCATGAATAAACCAAAGTGGTGTTTGTTCGCCATTTTTGCTTACGGCCAATCATATCGATGTCGATGTTGGTCCCCAAACAGTCGCAGTTCTATGTCTTACATACTGCGGGATATTATTTCCTCAGTTCTAAATTTAGATTGGTTTTTGGAAAACGAATTGAGTATTGTGAAATGAAATCTGCTCATTATTTGCCCGTGGCTGACTTATGTCGTTAAATAAGCTTGCACAATTTTTTGCTAGCCGGAGAAAGTCGATTTGGCCTTTGCTATGTTTGTAATCGGTGCGACCACGTTGGATACGTTTAAACCTGCAGTTTGGAGCTTTAGAGAATCCACAGTTTTAAAATTCAAGATCTGGAATCCAATCTCCTCCTGCAGAGGAAGAAAGAAAGTACGGAGAGTTTGAAAACTAGTATCTGGTGGACCAGGGAGGAGGAAAAGCTGGTGGTGGTGGGATTATAAAAATCATGGCTAGAATACACAAAGCCCTTTGCGGTACCTGCCGTTGACTATATAATTACGAAGCCAAGCCATCTTGTTAACCTTCCCCTTGACGAAAAATATCTCAAGTACAAACAGCTGCTTATTTCCTCAATCCTAACGAATTGATTCCGAAATGGAGAGCCATTTAATGCATTAATAAGGCCTTTTATCTGTTATGGCTTCTTTATGAACTAGTCTCAGCCAAGCAAAAAGGAGCTAAGGCTATTCACTTTTATATTCAGAGAGGCTGGTCGATGGTGGTAAGTAGCTCCAGTTCTGAAGAGCAGGCAGGAGTAAGATCCATACATGAAACTATGCTGACGGAATAGTTTCTGCATTTTTGGAGCGTTTTGCTGTGGTATGAGATGAATCAGGATAGATTTAAGAATACTGTGCGTTCCATTCTTTGAAGTACATCCCTTTGAAACGGAATTCATTAGTCGGAGAATATGCATATCTACAGTTCTTGAGTAAGGAATGCTTTGTGTGCTGTCAAAATTTCATAACGCATACAAAAATGATGGGATTATTTTAGCAGATTTTACATTTATTTACTATTTTGTTATTTTTACAATTTTTTATGCTTTAAGAATCTTGGATTAATGATTATTCCGTAATCAAAAACACCACAACCCATCATGAATAAAATAAGTGGGAAGGACGGGGGAAAGTCTGAGCTTTCTCTCTGAATCTCTTACTCACCCACTCACCACCACCCTCCACGACCGTCCTAAGCGAAAACTTATGCAGAAAAGATTACTCTTCACAGGATGATCTCAGTTCTCAGCCCTTAAAGTTTCCCAACTTACTCGGCGAATGTACGCGCACTGGTGGCAATTCAGCGTGGCGTTTTCCAAATCCGAGATTTCTTTCGACATCGACACTCCGACCTGGAAAAGCTATTTGGCTCCCACCCGTTCACTCACTCACCCTAAATTCAAACGTTCAAAAGCTTTGTTACAAATCCCCGTGTGCCCAAGGGGTGTCATCGGCGGTTCTTCTTCTCCTCTTCCTGTCCTCTCCCACTTTCACATGCAGTTTCGGATCAAACTTCACCAGCCTTTGTGAATGCATATGTATTTATGGATGCACTGCATCTATTTCAAACCATCTTTTCTCTCCTCCAAATTCAGCGACAGTGACAAAGAAAAATATTTTGTTTGTGGAAATTGCATTTGGGTTTCATTTCATTTTGTCATTATCTTCTCGAATTTGAATTCAAATGGAAATATTGTCCACGTCGTTTTTATACGAAACGTACGTTGCTTCCATTGTCATGCGGTTTGAAATATACTTGTCGCGTCGCATACACTGTCCATTCAGCTTGCTTACCCTCACCTTTCTTCCTTTCTCCTGCATCAGTGGTACTACACACATATGTACAAGCACATGCATTGTCTGGAAAGCCACGGCCGTGGTCAAGCATACAAATGGACGGAGGGATTTGGAGGATTGAAAAGTCTTCAGATTTTGATGGTGCAGGAAAAGGAGGGGACGGCGCAAATCCGAATCCGATACAATTCATATTTTACTTTCGAGTTCTGACTGCTCCCCCATTGTTCATGTCGGAGTTTGTGATGTGGCTATGAATATTTGTTGTGCAATGACCAGTGGTAGAATCGAACATAAGAAAAGGCATCTGGATTTCATTGTCTTTCCTTCATGCGTGCCCTGTTAAATTGGATTTGGATTCCGCTCTTGTCACAATCTGCATTTTACATTCCACGTACGTACATTCACATGCGGACGGACGGAGGAATGGATTGGTATATGCGTGTGGTGCAGCAGGATGCAAAATCGAAACCACAATTTATTGTTCAAATCTTCCCTTTGAGAGGAGTATTCTTCCTTCCGCTCTGAAATCTTTGGTCTCAGAACCCAAGACGGAATCTTGTAAAAAGCAACCTTTGAATGCCATGCAGGGCACCTCCACCCTGACTCACCCCACAATCCACTCATGTAATATGTGACTTACGATTTCTCTGACACAGGCCGACATTTGTCCATATTAAGTTTGGGCAATCAGGTTTATCCCATCGCTCTCCGCAGTGTAAAAAACCAACTGCCACTACCCAACTCCGAGAAAATGTCACCCGGACAGGTTGGTTACAAGCAGATTATGCATATGCGTATGAGTATCTACCCGTATTCTACATTTGGCGATTGTCTGCCATGCTTCTCGACCCAAACTGAATGACAACTGATCCAAACCGCATGGAGAATAATGTTTTGGGTTGACTGATGGTCCTGATCCTTCAGCCCATTATGGTCTCAGGACTGACATTTTGATAAAATGCCGAATATCCAACGATCCAGCATTCTGCTTGTGACTGGTTAGAAAGACATTTAACTATCGGGGATCAAGATTAGGTTGGAAGGCAATGTGTGCATATTCTTTACGATATACGATTTTTTTCTTCTCCAAAGTCTAAAATTCTCAGGTTGGTAGGTTAAGCTGAGTTGCGATTGCGAGGATTTTGTACAATTCTCGAGAATTTCACGGTGCTTGAAGGATTTTGCAGAGAAAGAAGAAGTCTTTTATCTTGATCTGTCATTCCCATCGTTCTCTGCTCTTAAATTGATGCTCGAAATTGGGATGAGATCCGATTTTAAATCTATTCAAATCAACCATTCACTCATGGAATACGTATTTTAAAGAATTTTGCTATAATATGTACATACAACAAAAGTAGAATACACTGATCACGTGGACATTGCCTTAATTACTCATCTCACTATTACACTGGAACTCTTGCGTCTTTTTATAGAAATCGTCCATCTTCTCTTCTTCGACATGCCTACACGCTCAAAATAAATGGCCATGTTCAACTGAACTAAATTGAAAACAAGTCACTTTTGTCCATGTTCTTTGTAAAAGTTTGAAATTACTGTGAAATAAGAGACACTTTGTCTACTGAACCACTCTCCAAGGAGTAATATGTCGATGAAAGGGTTCGAGCCCGCATGTGGTGCAATCACTTCATTCCAACTTATCCCGTACAAGATCGACATCGACCCCTTCCATCCCAGTTACGTAACGCTACTACATACATACATACCTACGACTAAGACTGCACTATTTACTAGCCCACAGTTAAATGGTTGCAAGCAGTCAATTTAAATTTTACAAAATGTTTGAAACGCTCTTGAATAAATATGTTGTCTCGCCGCTTTTAAATGTCACATCTCGGTAAGGATCTCATTCATCGCGTGGAAACATCCAGACTTTCCACACTTTCATTTACATTAATTGCTGCATGAGAAACACATTTGTTAAAAAGTTGGAATGTTTTTGGAGACTTGTGTTTTCCTAATGACTTTTCATCACTGGTTCCAGATCTTGTGCAGCAGCTGTCACCTCGTCTTGCATCAGACTTTCCATGATGAGCAACGCCGTCATGTCGTCGTCCTCATACCAGGGAGGCAGCAATAACGGCCACGGCAGCCTCGGCAGCAATAGTAACAAAAGCAATTCGCTGGCCAACTCCCAAAACGGTCGTGTGGATTTCGCGTCAGTTTTGAAGAAATCGAATGCGACCCCCATTCCACCTGCGCTCTCCAGAAAGTTGGGACGTGGATCATCAGAATCTCCGTTGGGAAAGGTGAGTTATTGAAAAATCTTGCCTTGCTTTTTCAAAATGGATGTTGCATTAATAATCGCGAAATTACAGAACTTTTGATTTCTTTTCAATTTGTATTCCTCCTCATAATACAATACAGAATCTGGAGCATGTAAGATTGTTTTAAAGACGTTGGTAAAAGTGGACGTGGTCTCTTAATTGAAACAGGGGAACTGTTTTATTAGTGTGTGGGGTGGAGACTGGGAGGACAGTCGGAAGGAAGTTGTAAATTGCTTTCACTTTCGTCATTCCAAATCAGTCCCTTCCATCCACCCATCCACTCGTAATACTATTCGTGGATCCAAAATGTCAAGCTAATCGTGATCATACAAAAAATCATCAACCTGATTGTGCATTTTATGGTCAACATTTCTATGTAAGGACCAAACTCTGGCAAATATTAAACCTGGGACAATAGACGTACATAGTTTTACGACTTATTCGTATATTAAGTACACTTTGCGTGTGCCACTCACGCACCAATGTCTGGGGAGTTCGTACAGACAACGGGGAAGTGATATACATAAACCGGGTTGTGTCGAGCTGTCTTCCGAGAAATGAAATCTGTACAAAAGGCTCCCCCAGATTTCGCAAAATTTTTATGGCGCTCGTAAAATTTGCAAATACCAACATCATTTTATGAAGTCGTCGTCGTCGTCATGATGCGTCTGCTCATCCGTTGATCTGATCTCAATTTCAAGGGTTTGCGAGAGGGGAGCACAATAATAATCATTTTGAAGCGATTCTGGAATGTGTCACTCATGTGTTGTTCTTGTGTGCAAGTTGGATGAGATGACGATAACACAGTCGCTCGTGAGTCATCGAAGGCTCAAAGGCTGACAATTCACCAAAATGCTCATCCTGCCAGCATCGGTGGTAAAATTGCACTCAGACGACTCTCCCGAATTATTATGAGCAGATTCAGTGAAGCGTAGTTAACTACTAACTATTCAGAGAGGACCAACTAACATTATATTATTCCATGGGGTCAATTTACTACTTGCATATAACATACCCTGCGATATCAAAATTTTGTCTCCAACCACCACAAGCAAATGGCGAGACATTAATCCGTGGCGATAAACAGACATTTCATGGTATGATATGAGCACAACGTTTGTGAAATGCAAATTATAAAAAATAGGTTATGTCCGTTTTGCCATTTACTCTGTAATTTTGCAAACAACAAGGTAATATCGCAATAATGAGAGTGTATGTCGTTGTTTATGACACGAAATAATCGTTAGCCTCCATTTTCAATTAAAAAATAATAGCGACATATTTATATAATATTCAAGCGAGGTAGGAAAGAGTATGCAAGCAAGAAGGATAAGCACCGCATAATCTTAATGCTGAATGTTGATGATTCCACAGAATAGTTGACGATGAGCACTTTAGATATCATGATAGACTCGTTTTATTAGCGCAAATAAAGGCCAAAGGGGTGCTCCGTCTGGTGCTCAACATTTAAAATTCAAAAGTTTGATGATTATCCGCATCAGGTTTACTCCACCTTCCACCTTATTTCCTCCCATAAAACCATTTCTCTCCCTGAAAAATTTATTAAGTCTCAAGCATAACCCATTACACTCAAGACTGTGGAATGAATAGGAGCGTAAAATTAGGAAGGGTAGATAACAAACATCACAAAACTCCTCTGAGCTGACATTCGGTTCAATGTCATTTTAAGAACATGGGGCAATACCGTAATACCCCCGATATACCACCACCATCATCCCTCTACATAGTAGGACTGTAGGCAAGGGAGGCAGTGATCTCATGGCGATAGTGATCACCATAAGCAGAATAAGAAATAAGAGGGGAGAAGAGGATGTTGAGCAGATCGAAATAGTGAAGCACGGAAGCAGCAGAAGTTTGCTGGCTTCTTCAGATAAAGTGATAAACTATGGATGATTCTTCTTTGGTAATTTAAGTATCATTTGTGGCATGGCATGCTCAAATCTGTGTAGTGCATTTTGGTGAATGCCATGGTCGTGCCTGCCTTTGTGAGAGATCACAAGAAAAGTTTGGGTTTTTTTTTGGTTTGCAAAGGTCCATTACCACCAAAGTCAAGGGGAATGAGGAAAGTGCAATTGCAAAGCTGAATTACTTTCTCCACGTCTTATTAAATTCGTATCATATCACTCACCCCACAACACCACGCCCGATGCAGGAAATGTTTGAAATGTGCTTCATCTGGGCGAGGAGTGCAGTAATGTGATGTGATGTGTTGTCGAGATTTTTTACCACTTTTTACTCGGAATGTGGAAATCCACTTTGCCGTCCTCTGCACTTTACCTCTGCTTCTGAGACGAAAGCTGAGAAAGGTGTCTCGTCCTGTTTTCTAACCAGTTTGATCAAAGAACGACCTTGGGTTTTATCCTAATTTTTTCAAAGGAATTTGCTTAGAGTTACAAAATGATTTTACATTTGCTAATTTAGCGTAAATTGTAGGATATGGCTGATCCATTCATAAGAGAAAAGGTCAATTGCATCGTGAATATATGTACATATGCATGAGGATGATGAATGGTTTTTGGGCTGTAATAAGTACATATGTGCGACCTCATGGTAGCTGAAACAGTCGGGTCAGCTATAATTCTAACTCGCATGGGTCATTTATTTCTCAGGCCTGGTGAATATCAAATTCCATCCATAGAGAAAGATTCATAAGTCCCTTGGCAGCATCCAGTATGCAACGGCGTACGAGATTTTGATCTAAAAATCAGAAACTCCATTACAACAACAATTTCACAATGATGAGATCCGGACGTACCTGTAACGTGACTTTTGTGCAGATTTATCTCTCAACCCCATCAGGACAGAATAGGATTGGATGGATAAATATTACGCGTGTGGTGCAATGCAAACGAATTGCAATTCCGAGTTCAGAGTGTGTTCCCCAGAGTGTGTAATTGCACATTTGACTTTGTCTGCCAGAAGACCTGTGCGTGTGTGTGTGTGCAAATATATAAGTCCAACTACAGTCAAAGTAAATCTAAACGAAATAGACAGAAATTGTAGAATATTGTATTCATGAGATTCATTTCGTAAACATGAGGTTAGCTTCATTCCCTTTTCCTCTCTGTGGAGCCTAACCAACTCTCAGGATTGAGATTGACTTGGTTTTCCCTGCTGTCTCAGTGGCGTTGCACATTTGTATTCAATCCTGCATTGCATTCTACTTCAGCACTGCATTTTATACGTTGGAAGAAAGAACTCATTTCCACTCTTTGTCTAAATTCAAACTTCCGAGTTTTGGATCCGGATTTTTTTTGGCAGAAAGCGACGCACAGAGAGAAAAAGAGACGGTCCTCATCCTCTATCGACATCAACTCCATAAGTACTCAAGACAATGCCTACTTAAAATTCTAGAGCGTTTACAGCTCCAAAAATATATCGCAGATAGCACACGAGTTGGCTCCGTCTATAGCATTTATTCCCTGCACTGGGACTAACTGCATTTTATTTTATGTCCCTTTCGAGCTCCTTCTTTAAGTTTGACAGAAGTCTATTACCGCTTTTAAATCTAAACCAAGAAATACATACGAAGGAGCCACTGCTTACAGAAAAGTTGAACACAAAACCTTCAAGAAAAGAAAGTCAGTCGTCTCAATGGGGAAAGAATTGTGGTGTTTCTTGCCAACAGTGTGTAGCCGAACAGACGTAGCTTCTCCAAACATTCAGGGACACATGAAGAGTGGAAAAACTACGCGTAGTGGAAATGCATTGCATCTTTATCCCATAAAAATCCAGAGAAATGCATCCAAGGATTTACTTTCTGCCCGGTGCGTAAAACATAAGCTTGCTCCCAATCCTATAAATCTTGCGTTTGTCTTGAATTTCCTCTCCTGCGTTTTCACAGTTTTCTCTGACTTTTCTTGAGAGTGAGAGCTGCATATTTTAAATTCATATCCCATTGAGAAAGTTGTTCCATATGTCAAACAAAATGTGACGCAATGCATTTTCGATTTAACAGCCAGCATGAACAACTTTCGCACCTGTTTTCTTTTCCAGAAACCGTAACGTCAGGTTATAGATATATCCAAAATCGTATCTACACCAGTTACGCTTATGGGCACATTATTCACGGTACTCGGAAATGTAGCATATGCAACCAGCACATAATCGAACTATGAAAGTATTGAGCAGAAAATAGAGTGACACGTATTTGCTGAGGTTGAAAATTTACTCTGTAAAATTCCTTTCGTGACATCGTTGAGCCATTCTTTATATGCAAAATGCATATGCACTTTACTCAAAATGGGAGTAAAACTCTATCAAACTCGGCGAAAGTTTATACAAGTTTGGTGCGACATGACTTTGCATTTAAAGTGTAAATACCTTCCCCCATTTCATGATTGGGTTCCCACCACAAATTCCTGCATGCTTAATATACTTGGCTGTGCAAGGATAAGCAAAATCATGGCCATCTTATCCCTCCTTCTTCCACCGTTATTGCTCCACCGCTTGCTGCGTCGCCTTGCTTTCCTTTTGTCGGGATTACAGGCATGCACCTTCAGCTACTTATTATGCATATTACTTTCACCGAGGCGGGATCAGGTAATAGAGCAGCTTGCCTGGTCGGTGAATACATAAGGTTGTAAAATACAATAGCAGGTAATCTTGATAAAATTCCAAGCGAGGAGTGCTCTACTCAATCAATCGAAATAGGAATCCAATTTAAATTAGACATTATCGGGACAAGGGGAGAAAGTTTCTTGAAGAGAAGAACTCGTGAAAATGCGGATGAAGGAAACAGAGCTGATATGCATTTAAAGTTTATAAGGCTCATAGTTTCTTGAGCATGTTATTAGTTTCTCACGAGGAGGTGGTGGCGAGGATGGTTTTGGAGACAAGGGCGTTGATTAGATAGTTCGTGTGCATTCCTTGGTCCCAAAGATAATCAGTGAAACCAAAGCCCATGGAGAGAGACTCAAACAAAACCTGCCGAGTTAATATGTATTACGCAAAGGGAACCA